TTCACATATCGACATCTGAGTTGAACATGTCTCTTTTGTTTGTCTAACAAAAATGGCTCCCTCTTAATCCTCCATGTATAGGAAGTTATGAACGTCCAAATACACGTTAAATCGAGATCAAAAGACCAGGGAAAAAATCACTAAATTAGTTTATCTTTTCAAAACCTAGCCATTAAAATGTCTCTGTTGCTGATGCTGACATTAGAGGATAATATGAAGCTAGGCCTCACAATTATCAAAAATATTCCTTTACTTTTTTTTTTTTCTTTTTTTTCCCCTCAGATGCTTGTTCTACCTCCATTGCCTATGTGGGGCCCAGATAAAGAACCCATCACTGGACCCCACAACCCCATTTCCCCAACTATAAATAGCAGCTGCAAATGAAACTTGAAGATCATAGCAAGCACCAATTCACTTATTCAATTCTATTTTCTGCTTCTTTTGATACCAACTCAACCATGTCGGACAAGTGTGGAAACTGCGATTGCTCTGACAAGAGCCAGTGCGTGTAAGTAATACTTAAAAGTTTTTCGTGTTTTTTTTCTCCACATAACCAAGATTTATTCTCAATAAATATGAATCCCATCAACTCGATAATTGTAGGAAGAAGGGAAACGCCTATGGTATCGACATCATCGAGACAGACATAAGGTACATTTAATTTCTTGCTTAACAATTCCTTTCTTCTTGACAACTGAAACCCACAACAAGGAAAACAGAAAAGATCACTTAAACATTTTACTTAAAAGCAGTCTTTCACAAACTCAGCAAGTTTTGTTATATTATTATCATGTTGGTTATTGTGCTGCCGGGTTCTGATATTGCAGCTACGTCGCGATGGATGCTCCAGCAGAGACCGAGAACTGTGGCAAGTGCAAGTGTGGTACAAGCTGCTCTTGCACCAATTGCACCTGTTGTACTCACTGATTACACGCATATCTATATGTAATATTTAGTATGATGAAATAAGTTTGTGACATTGTGGTCTGGTCTGGTGTGTTGTGTGTTATTGAGTTAAATTTGAGTGTCACATTGTGTCCCTATCAATGTAAGGTTCAAAGTCTTTGTGGCGTTAATAAACTCTATTATTAGTTTCTAATATTTTCTATTGTTTGTTTCTATTCATTCCTCCCAACCAATCAACATAATATGTCCACAGCCCGTTGACCGTTATCAATTTTAATCGTCGATGAATCACCTGAACTTATAATGTTTCATTAGTCACTAAACTTATATATGATGTTAAAGTTCAATGATT